CTCAGTTCTAGGAGTAGTAGTCTTTTCTTTTTCTCCCTTTACTATTCCATTGGAACTATTTCATTGTTTGAGTAAAGGTCTGCAAGTTTAAAAAGAGGTTGAGTAATTTAAAGATAATGGTATCTTGAATACATTAGAAAAAATGCTTAAGGGTGGGTTTTAAGCATTGAGCTTTTATTTTTTTAGAAGATTTATTTTGCAGGGGGGGAGAGACAGAATCTCAAGCAGACTCCATGCGGAGGACAGAGCCCCATGGGGGCTCGATGAGATCATGACCTGAGCTGAAACCGAGAGTCAGAGGCTTAACCAACTGAGCCACCCTAAGTATCAAGCTTTTAAACCAAAGTTTATGGTGACTTTATCAACTTTGTAAAATTAGTTGAAATGACCAAGAAGGTATTTTGGAGAGGGAAGGTAAATATGCACATAATAGATTTTAGTTTTCTATAAACAGTTGCATAGATTAAAATATGTGTATACAGGGGCGCCTGGGTGGCTCAGTTGGTTAAGCGACTGCCTTCAGCTCAGGTCATGATCCTGGAGTCCCGGGATCGAGTCCCGCATCAGGCTCCCAGCAACACAGGGAGTCTGCTTCTCCCTCTGACCTTCTCCTCGCTCATGCTCTCTCTCACTGTCTCTCTCTCAAATAAATAAATAAAATGTTTAAAAAAAAAATGTGTGTATACAAATCTGTTACCTTGAATTCTTTACCAGAAAAGATCTTAACAGATCCTAGAAATAAAAATGAAGCTTTTGAATTTGGATTTTCCTTAGTTATTCATCTGAAGAAGGCTTTTAACAAAGGTGATAACAGTACAGTACAAGGAGTAAGGAAGAACAAACAATTTTATATCTCATGGTTGCTTTTGTTTCTCATGGTTACTTTACTATTTTGATACAGAGAAGAACAATTTACACTCATAGAATGTTTCTGAATGCATTTTTGGCATCCTTGATTTTCTTTCCCTGCATTTTTTGCCTTTAGTCTTATAAAGTTCCAAGTGCTTTGGCACCTGCCTCCCAGGAGCCCTCCCCTGCTGCTTCTGCTGAGGCTGATGGCAAGGTCTGTTCTGATTCTTAATCTAAGCCTGCATGCCTAGTTGTTTGGTGCAACATAATCATCTGGAAACAACACACTGTACACTGAACATTAATGTGGGATGTTGTGTTAAGGTTAGATCATTTTAGTCTAATAGGAATTTTAAATTATATAACAATGTATACTTCATAAATTGTTGACATGCCTTTCTTTTGCTTACAATATAGAAGATGCGCACGGAAAGATAATTTAAAGAGGAAATTATCCTGCACTTTTGAAATTCAAGCTATTGGTATTTAAATTTTGCTTGTTAAACTGCATGTTTTAACGTATCTTTTAACAGTTAATTCAGGACAGCAGAAGAGAAACTAAAAATGTGAGTCTCTTGCTTCAGAATGGAAATGTACCTTTGGTTCTCACTGAAACACTGTCTTCAAAACCACTGAAGCTCTTTGTATAATAGCATCTATCTCTTGTCTGTGTTCCATTTTTTAATGTTTCTCTTACCTAGCTAATCCTTCTAAGATGGCATTAAAAAATAACAAAAGGCTTTCCTCCTAGTTTTGACTTTAATATTGTGGTAGGGATTTAAGATTCCAGAGGTGGCAGTTAATACTTCTGGACATTTCCTCTTTAAAGGGTCAGAGATCTGTCCGGGACTAGTGGATCAGCCTCTCCTGCTGTTTGCCTGCACGGCCACGTGGTCTGCCTTGTCACCCGAAACGTGGGGCTTAGCATGTGCCTCAGCAGCTTAAGCGAATTCGGAAAAAACAGGGACTGGGAGAGTTTGAGACTGTCAATTCTTGATAACCTGTTTGGGGGAAAATGAGATAATCAGTAAATTATTCAGACCTTCCTCTGTTTTTTTTCCTGCCTTTAGCTCCTTTCCTCACTTACTGTCCAGGTTTAAGATTCTGAGCCTCCTAAGTTTATAAATGTCTTATCCTCTCTCAGCCCGCTGTGCTCAGGTTCTATGGAGAACCGTCCAAATCATTGCCTTAAGTTTTATTTCACTTGTGGCGTCACCCTGAGTTGCCTTCCTTTCCTTTTCATCATTCAGGCATCTAAACAACTAATTACTCATTTTAAGATTAGTTTATAATATACTGCTATATTTGGACATAGCATATCTTAACTGATGTATTACAGGCAAATGTGGGCCAGTGTTTTGATTCAGAAAGATACCCCAAACTGACTTTTTAAAAATCTATCTTTCAGGTGTGCAGTATTATAATTTGACATCTGTATGCACTACAAAGCGATCACCCCCAGAAGTCTAGTTAAGCATCCATCACCCTACAACTGAACCCCAGCTTGTTCTTGATCTAGGATTTTGTTTTTGAAAACTGACATATTTTTAACACTTGCCCTAACACCCTTCGGTTAAAAGTCTGGATGCCACCTTAATTCCATTTTAGATTGTAAGATCTTTTTAAAGAGCATGTAAAAACATTCCTAAATGTTGATCAGTTACTGTTTTTCCCATTATTCTAAACATTTTTCTTTTATAAATCAACTGACATATCCTAGAAAAGAAGGTGCAGAAGTACTGGTGATAACTAGATTTCTTTCAGTAGATCCTTAAGAACATAGACATGGAGGAAACTTACCTTGGGTTTATGTCACGTTCCACATTTTAGGCAGCTTAAAGTCAGTATCAGCCTAAGAACTGTTAGTGTAAAGAGTTTGTAGCTGTATCCTATAGTATTCTGTTGACTATTAAAAATGTAAACTAACTTAGAAAATAGATAAATTCTGAAGTTTGAGATAAGAGTTCATAGGACTTTTGGAAAGATCAAGTTCAACAGTGTAAGGTTACTTTGAAAAAATTAAACTGACTGGCAGTTCAGTTTTCTTTTGTGCTTTTAATAAGCACTCTTAAGGGCAGTTTATACTTTTCCCACAATTTACTGTTGGAGGGGTTGGCAAGGAGGAAGAATTTTAAAGTTAGCGAACGATAAAGAAAAATTAAATCTATGGGCTGAGGCCTTCCAAAGAAAAGACAACAGAACCTCTTATTTACGATAGCTCAGGTTGCCAGTTACACATGCCACATGCCATCTTTTTCTGACCCTGTTATCTGTCTGAATAAAATTCCAGATGGTACTGGATGTGTGTTCTCCTTGTCAAAGAAGATGAACTTTAAGTTAATGTCAGATCGGATACAGTTGGAATAGGGTTTGGAACATGTTCTTTTCAGGTTGCATCTGGAGGCGGCGGGGTTGGAGACAGTGTTCAAGAACCAACAACAGGCAACTGGAGAGGAATGCTGAAAACTTCAAAAGCTGAGGAGTTATTAGCTGAGGAAAAATCAAAGCCAATTCCAATTATGCCAGCCAGTCCACAAAAAGGTCATGCTGTGAATCTGCTGGATGTGGTAAGCCATGCGAATGGGTTACACACTAAGAAGATAACCGAATTACTAGGAAAACACTTCAGAAAAACTAAAGGAACTAAAAGTCACAAGAACTTACTGAACTTTTTAACCATTTCAAAATGGCACAAAAGTGAAATTTTTTTCTTTCCCTCCATTTAGCCTGTTCCTGTTGCACGAAAACTATCTGCCCGTGAACAGCGAGATTGTGAGGTCATTGAACGACTCATCAAATCATATTTTCTTATTGTCAGAAAGAATATTCAAGACAGGTTAGTACTATAGTACTAAATCAGACTCTAATACTGCTCAGTTATTTCAGAATCTGTTGTAGAAATACATGTGTTTTAAAAATTTTAGGCTTTTATTCTAAATGGATCATCTGGTTTGGTTTTGCAGTGTGCCAAAGGCAGTAATGCATTTTTTGGTTAATCATGTGAAAGATACTCTTCAGAGTGAGTTAGTAGGACAGCTGTACAAATCGTCCTTATTGGATGATCTTCTGACTGAATCTGAGGATATGGCACAGCGCAGGAAGGAAGCAGCCGACATGCTGAAGGTATTACTGTCAGCGGTTTTGAGTTTTCACAGTTGGGTCGTGGATACAAATACTACATTGTTAAAAATGCATTCTTATCCTTGGAGATAGACAGTCCTCCTATAAGGGCTAATCTTTTTTTTTGTTGGTACTTGATTAGACTTTTAGATTCAAATTCCAGAGAAGATACTGGTTAATTTAAAGCTACCACATATCAAGAGGAGTGATTACGCCCACATAATTCAGATTTTTTTTTATATCAAGAACTTAATAAGCATCTACAGCTTTTTCTTTTTTAATATAGGCATTACAAGGAGCCAGTCAAATAATTGCTGAAATCCGAGAGACTCATCTTTGGTGAAGAGAACTATAGAATATGGGGACTTTGTTGACTCGAAATTTGCTAGTTACTGCCTACTTGAGTAGAATTTTATTTATGAACTCCTGTGTATTACAATGGTATGAATCTGCTCATGTGAAGAGACTGGCTATAAACTGAAAATTTTACTCTGTACTGCAGAACAAATCATACAGTTAATCCAAATAATAAATGGCTGTTTCTAAAGTTGCCCAGTACCTATAAAATACATCAAGTCTTTCTTGTGACCATTTCATTTGAACTTAAAAAGAGCTGTTAATGTTCTAGTTGTGCAAGCAGTTTGCCTGTGGATAAGATGACCTGTGTAATCTGTTAGTAGTCTTAAAGCTGCTGCCCTAGTCCTGCAAGAAGAGTGCACAAGACACCATTTCCTACAACTGTAATGCATGCACAATATAAACTGGTCTGGCTTTGAAAGATGTGAGTTGACAGGTTACTCACAGTCATTGTATTCCACCTGTCCTTCGATTTATAGTTTTACTGAGCTTTGCTGCAGCCTTTGATGTGTTAGTAAGAAAGCTGAAGGCACAAGAAGGTCTGGAACGTTGACAGTGACGCAGTGTGCGTGTGTAGCTACGCAGCCCTTCCACTTCTGGGCTCACGCTACCCTAGTGCGTTAAAAATCAAAGTATCTTTGATCCTTTCTTAAACCTGGAAGGATGAATTATATCGTTCTGCATTATTTTCAAATATAATAATTCAGATCCATCTTTAAATTAGATCACTTACACCATGTCCCAAGATTCACTTGGAGCTGGGACTTAAAACCAAATCCTGTGGTGATCATTGAAGTGTATCTTCTCTATTAGTTGGTTAAAAAAAAAAGTTGCTTCACACCAACAAAATGCATTAGAAAATACTCTATTTTAGAGTGGAACACTATATATATAGTGGAACTCTGTAAAGAAAAATACCTGGACACAGCCACACATCCGAAGGCTTAGGCTACTAAAATGCATTCAAAGAGGTTGGGGGTGAGGTTTAGAACATATTCACATTTTATTAAAATTCCCCAGGTGATTCTTGATATGCATTACATTAAAAATTTTAAGATACGGGTCAAAATCCTTAAAGCATTTAGCTCCATCTCTGACAGATACTATATTTCCATAATATAGAATTTACTGAACATGTTAACCTTTCTCCTAAGTTACGACATTTATGAAGAACTCCTGGCAGGGAAAGCATGTCTGGTAACTTGAGCTTACGGTACCCATTTACTAGCAAACAACAGGCTCAGCAACTGACCTCAACCATGAACAGATTCAATCATCTCTAATATGGTACTCCTTTGAATCTGTGAGCAGTACCAATCTGGAGAGAATGCACACTACCTAAATGTCTATTAGCACACACTCTGAAGTCACTCTGCCATTCTTCAACCTCAGTATAGCCATCCATGACTGACTGACTTCAGATACATCAGATGACTACCATTTCAGACTTTTAAACTTGTAAGGGGGCGGGGAACTTAACAGGGCACCATTCTCCACATCAAACATATTTCAAATTGGAAATGTTACCTTTAAAGATAGGTTACGGTAATGTACTTGCTGGCACTACACACCTTGTACAAGAGGCAAGAAAGGTTTGGAAAGTTAGAAAACCTTCCTTTGTTGGCTCTCAAACAGTGAAGCTCTGATATGTTTAGACGATCTCTGACATTTACAGTGGACACCTGTATGTTCTTGCTATGTAAATAAAATTGCTGGTATGAAATGACATTAAAGTTTTGTCAATAAATGAATTCTTCTTAACTTTGCTCCCAGAGAAAGGTTTAGATAAACTATAGTTTAACACATAACATTAATCTAATTGGAACATAATACAGCTTATACTGTATAAAAGTTTTACAAATTTTTTCCTATTCTCACAATTCAGAGATTATTACATCTCCAGTTTCACACATAAAGACAGTGATTTGTTCCATGTAATCCAGGTGGTAAATGCTTAGAATTTCAACACTACATGCTTTGCTGCCTATAAGATTTTCTAGAAGGAATCAAATTGTGAACCATTTTGTATTTGTGTATTTCACTTGGTCCTCAGGGAAATACACTGATATTACCCTGATTTTTGAGATGTGGAAACAGTTCTAAGAATTGACTTGCCTAATGTATAGAGAGCTTAATTAGGTCTGGATTCTAAGTCTGGAAAACTTCCCTTACCTGAATTCCTTATGATATTCTCCTGTGATTGGATATTGGTATAATATTTGCCTCTGTTTTCACTCTAGTTACTTTTCAGTTTATCTCAAGTTGCAATCTGCTTGGAGACAGACGCTGAAACTTAAAGCTAGGTTTCCAAATTTATGAAATACTGCTGCCTCAGTAATTTGGCAAAACAAAGCTGTGAGTAAATTTAATTATACTGAAACACAGGCAAGGGACTAAAAAACTCAATTAGAAACCTTCTGAAAAGTACGGATTTTCTTTGAATGTAAACTTTCTACTAGAATTTCTCCTGCCAACTATGGCTTAATGTATGTAATACCTGTCTTCTTAAGGAGAACTGGATTTAATCAACAACAAAAAATTCAGAAATTTTCAAGTTTCCAATACTATTTTTCACATTTCTAATGTGAACACTAGAGGCCCTGCTGGTGTCCGTGAGTCAAATCAGGGAGATAAACCCCTGATATAAAAGTATCCATGAGTCCTTACGCCACCCTCTTTTTCACTGTTCCTCCTCATCTCTAAAAAGGGAACAAAAAGGATAGGATAGTTCTTCCATGAAATAGAATTTTTAAAAAAGAGATTATCCCTGGCACTCATAGTTCTATGGTAGTCCTTAACACCTGCAGCTCAGGAGATAAAATACCGCATTATTACACCAGCACTTGTCTTAACCACCCTGTGGAAATAAGAAAATTACTCACACTCTGGGGCCTAGAGAGTACTCCATTCTCTATGGCTTGACTTACATGAGCAAAAGTGTAAGTTCTGGAGCCAGCCTTTGGTACATCTTAGGAGATGGGTAAGTTTGAACCACCTGAAGGATTTTTCATCATAGCTGAAGCCATTTTATAATGTAGAAATTCCTTTTTCCTATTTTTAGTAATGAAAGTCCATTCTTAAGAATATGTTGTCCAACAACCAAAACACACTCAGGATTCGTTACTTGTCTGTGATTTATACTGACTCCACCTTCTGTTATCATCCGATGCCTAAAAATAGAAATGTTTAATTAGAATCATTTGACTTATATTGCAGAGGCTCTGCAACTGAAACCACTTCGCAGTGAACTGTTACCTTCATGTTCACTCTACTAGATTCTGCCTCCTTCAAATGCTTTTCGAAAAGGAGCGGATTTAAGGCATAAGTTTCTTGTTTAGTGGAGAAAAATCTAGGTTATTTCATAGCTCTACACAGAAATATTCAGTTGGCAGTGGTTTAAACATGAATAGCAGAATCACCTGGAGAGTGATTCCTCACCCACAGAGAAGCCTCCAGAAATACAGAGAGGGCAATGCTGCTTTTTGTGAGTTCCCATGAGATACAAGTCGCAACTATGTAGTCCTGTTATAGAAATCTTTAGGAAACTTATGAAACTGGTAAATCATTGGAAATTATATTCTGAGACTATGCAAATAACAGCAAATTGTTAAAATTTTGAGAATTTTTTAAAAAGTGAAATGGGCTGATTTCAGAGATGGAATATCAGTAGCTTATCTAATTGCAGTTTAGTAACAATTTTTTTGATGGTGTATGTAAATAGGTTTTACTTATGTTATTTACTTACTGCCCAATTCATTCAACAAACATTTATAGAGCCTTTACTATACGCTAAATATAAATAGTACTGGAAACTAGTGGAGAGAGCCAGACTATTCCACAGGGATTAAATGCTGTCACCGGTAGGAAAGATGACTCTGGGTGCACACTGGGTTGGTGGGGGAGCTGGAAATTGTCCTGAAAGAAGAGACATGGAAACTGGGATGGTGAGTAGCAGTTACTTCCACAAATAGGGTGAGGAAAACATAGGGAGTAGTAGCTGGAAAGAAGCAAAAAGAGAAGAAAAGGTCTAGAGCATGAAAGGCCTTGGAAGTCCTTGTGAAAAGCAAATGTTCATTTTCTCTTATCTGAATGTTACCAAATGACAAAGCACTACTACACATGGTTTCATAAAACTCAACAGTTTTCTATTTAAGGACAGATTTCTTTCTCTTAGGAAGTGTTACTTTGGTCTGTTTGCTATAGTTTCCAGATCATGATCTCATTTTGCCTAAATGACAAATCTTATTTCGCTTACACGATCTAAAAAAATGTCAATATTAAGAACTCTGTCTAAATCAGATATGTTGTCATCCTAAGTCTTGGTAAAATTTCCAGTATCAGTAAATAAACCACTAGAAAAATTCAGAAGAAAATAAAAAATGCTTCCACAGTAAGGAAAATCCTTAGAACCAGTGACTGACTCTGGGGAGGTATATGGCACCACCCCCAATCCAGTGTACATGAAATAATGAGCATATTAGGGAATCAGAAAGGTTGGAATAGCAAGTGATAACAAAGACAATGGATATTTTCTCTATACAGAATAACCAAGGGCTTTTTAGGAGAAATGTAAAAATCTAAAATAACTGAAAGAAAATAGCAATTTTAACAAATGTCATTTATAATTATGACTAGGAGCTGACAAGCATAGGACTTACGGTCAAACTCCAGATGAGACACCCAGGGTTTTCTGGCTAACTAGTGCTTTTCCTTCTAAATCACTCTATTTCAGTTTTAAGTGCAAAAGAATCAAGTATATGCTGGATTACTTTTTGGTCGAACACTTTTATTCCCTCATAATACCACATAACTGAGGGAAAAGCATTCTACCTACTTCTCGATAAGAAAAATGGAATTCTCTGGGGCACCTGGCTGGCTTGGTCAGTTAAGTGTCTGCCTTCAGCTCAAGTCATGATCCCAGTGTCCTGGGATCAAGTCTCAGGTATGGCTCCCTCGTCAGCAGGGAGCCTGCTTCTCCCTCTACCCCTTGCCCAGCTTGTGTGCGCTCCCTCATGCATGCGCTTTCTCCCTCCGTCTCTCTCTGTGTGTCTCTAACAAATAAAATCTTTATTAAAAAAAAAAGAAAAAAGGAATTCAAGAGGAATAGTAGGTAATTTATAATACTAGTTTTAGGAAGTAACATCATATGCTTACTTCATTTTCAGAAATTCAACTAATATTCTTTAAAAATTTTATTTGTCAGACTGAGAGCACATATGCACACAAATGGGGAGTAGCAGAGGGAGAGAGAGAAGTGGGCTCCCCACTGAGTAAGGAGCCCAGTGCAGGACTTGATCTCAGGACCCTGGGATCATTACCTGAGCCGAAGGCAGATGCATAACCGGTTCACTGAGCCACCCATGTGCCCTCAACAAATATTGTAAACAGGTTGGGCAACCCCTTTACTCCCTCAACTAAAGATGATACAGACTGAATATGAGAGGGACCATGTGAATCTCTTCACTTTGGTCTCAAATTGTGACCATCCATCCCCAAGCTGACTAATCCCAGTGCATCTGCTGATCACAGTGGTCCCTTCAGTACAGGCCTTTCCAGCACTGGAGGAAAAACAGACTTAGATTTAATGAGAGACAGTATGGGGGTACCAGAGTTTATAGAAAATTTAGAGTATTTTCAACAATTAGGTACTCAGTTTTCACTTTAGTCTTGGACTAACCTAACTTCTGCCAGGAATAAGACACCTTGTGGCACTACGGAAACATGCTGTGAACTGTAACATTTACTGCTGAATGAACAGTGACTGAAAGTTAAATCATCTTACCCTCGGGGACCATCTGGAATGGCATTTGCTTTGCGGCATGTATCTAGGACACTTGTTCCTGGGTCAAGAACTAATTCAGAAAATGAAGCTTCTTTAAACAACTCTCGTAACTCTTGATCAGACATGACCTCCAGGGCATCGATGCTGCTGTGATAAAGGGCATGCGTACACCTGAAGAACACATCAAGAACCACATCACGGGAGTGCTTACCCACAGACACGTTCTAATAGCCAGTTCTAAAACAGCAACGTTTATCTTGTAGAAGTCATACTTAGCTCAAGATGATCTTTCCCACAGAAGCTATTCTAAAGCACTTGTCAGAGACTGACAGTCCTTATAGTAGCAAATGACACAATAGCCCTAATAAATTTTCTCAAGTCCATTAACTACATAGCTTTATCCAGTGTTAGTTATTCCTAAAGGCCACCTTTTAGCAGAATCCAGCCCTTCTTGTCCATGAACGAGCTTTGTAACTTCTGCAGCGAGTCGCTTCTGAGGACCCCGCTTTTCCGGCTCTTTAACATGCAGCTGCATGATGTGGTCAATCTCTGGAAGGGGCAGGAAAGTGAAGAGCTTCAGGTACCTGTGGGACAAAACATACATTGCTGGTGTATACAACACACCTAATTTTTGTCTCCAACTCCCTTTCCCTTCAAAAGACATCCTGCCTACTTTTAAATTTGCATATATTTTTAAGATTTATTTATTTTAGAGAGAGTGCGTGCATGCATGAACATGAGGTAGGGGGAGAGGGAGAAAGAGAATCACAAGCAAACTCCCCACTGAAAACAGCCTGATGCGGGGCTCCATCTCACAACCCTGAGATCATGACCTGTGCCCAAACCAGGAGTCGGCCACTTAACCAACTGAGCCACTCAGGCGCCCCTAAATTTATTTTTCATTAGGAAAAATAAACATGCAGAAATGTACCCCAAATAAGATACCCATGCACACACCAGCCAGATTGAAGATGTTACTATTTTGCCATCTTCACTTAAGATCTTTCCTTTTGAAAAGGCATGAATAATATAGCTCTAGATGCCAACATATTCCCCTCCTTGCCCAGGAATAAGCTAATCTAAATTCGTACCTACCCTTCCTAAGCATGTTTTAATACTTTTGTTTTCTGTATACGTACCCATAAATAAAAAATATGTGTAACTTGAAAATTGACATTTTATCTGTAGCCTTTAAAAAAGAATCTTTTCTTGGTGAAAAACACATAGAAAGTATACAAATCACAAACATAGTTTAATGAATCAAAAAGCAAACATCTGGGGCACCTGGGTGGCTCAGTGGGTTAAGCCTCTGCTTTCGGCTCAGGTCATGATCTCAGGGTCCTGGATCGAGCCCCACATCGGGCTCTCTGCTGGGCAAGGAGCCTGCTTCCTCCTCTCTCTGCCTGCCTCTCTGCCTACTTATGATCTCTCTCTGTCAAATAAATAAATAAAATCTTAAAAAAAAAAAAAAAAAAGCAAACATCTATGTAATCACCCCCCCCATCCAGAAATACCTCGTTTCTTCTACTCAAAAAAAACCCAGATGTTTTTACATCTACTTCTGCCTTTCCAAATTAACCACTCTTCTCCCTTTCAAGGTAATCTCTTTGTTTTTCTTTAAACTTCCACTACTCTGGTATCCCTTGGTAAATGGCGTCGCTTTGTTTTGCCAGTTTTAGGCTTTATAAATGGGATCATACCGAATATATCTTCATGTTCAGCCTCTCTGGCACATCAGTATGTTTGGCGGGAGACGCATTCACGTTGCTGTGTCACCACTGTTAACGTACAGCATTCTGAGCGGTGACTACGTGTAAAGTATTTATGTAGACAGTCTACCGTGGATATCTGCGTTGCTTCCGCTCTTGGACAGCTGCTAATAACGCGGCTATGAATATTCCCATGTAGTTCTCTTGGTGCACAAACCCAGGAGAGGAACTGTCGGGTCACACACAGGTTTATGTGCATATTCAGGTTCAGTAACACAGACACCTACTTTTCCAGAGTGGTTCTGTAAGTGCTGCATCTCTGTCTGACCCTAAGCTTTGGATTGCCATGGCCTCCATTCCAAGCCCTCCCCCACACAAATGAGCTGAAGGCTCATGAGCCAGGCAAAGCAGCCAGCCACGGCCACACAGCAAGTTCCCCTTTTAGAAAGCTCTGGATAGGGGCGCCTGGGTGGCTCAATGGGTTAAAGCCTCTGCCTTCAGCTCAGGTCATGATCCCAGGGTTCTGGGATCACGCCAGCTTACCCCTCTCTCTCTGCCTGCTTGTATTCTCTGTCAAATAAATAAAAAATCTTAAAAAAAAAAAAAAGCTCTTGGTAACTCAGATACCTCAACACTTGAGTGAACCCATTTCTCCCTTCCCACTACCTAATTTCTGCTCTTGTGTTTTAAATCTGCCAATGAAGAAGGGCCTCACAAAGGCCCAGGCAGAGCCCCAGGCCCATGCTCTCTGCCTCTCCCTAACCGAGACCTCCAAGTGCCCCACACCCTCCAGAACTTGTAGGGAATAAGATGTTTTTCCAAGTTTCCTGATGGTTGTTGCTGAGGTGCATCCTGCAATCCTTAACAATCCTTACAATCCTGTAAGAACCATGAAGGCCAGTTCAGCCACAAAACAGACTCCAGTCAGGGAAATGTGGGTAGGAGACACACAGTCCCACTATGACCCACCACTCAATGTTCACTAGGGGAGTTCTCCCTCCTCACCTACCAGAATATCCTTTCCTCAGTAATTAGCCCTTCTCGGCACAAGGCCTGAAGGACCCTCATTTCTATTAGTCACTAAAGGCCTTTATTATTAATGGTCTAGGGGCACCTGGGTGGTTTGGTCGTTAAGCGTCTGCCTTCGGCTCAGATCCTAGGGTCCTGGGATCGAGTCCCAAATTGGGCCTCCTCTTTGGTGGGAAGCCTGCTTCTGCTTCTCCCACTCCCCCTGCCTGAAGTCCCTCTCTCACTGTGTCTCTCTGTCAAATAAATTAATTTAAAAAAATTAGTGATCTGATCATCTCCTTAGTCCACATGGCCCTGATCACACAGCTCTGGAGACACTGAATTACTATGGCAGCAGTGACACTTTAGGAGAGAGACGAAAGGCAATACACAGCAGAGGTGATATGCAAAACCGAGACTGGTGGGATGACATCCAGCGAGTGGTGCTGTGTTCCCAGGTGCTGTGACCTACCTGGTCAGCCAGTTACTGTAAGATGGGAAGGTAAGGCAGACCCACAGTTAACTACGAGTACTACCATGCAGCCCTGCTGACAATACCATGTTCCCACGGTTCCAGACGCAGCCAATCAGTGGTGATGTTGACAGGAATGACTGGGGGCTCTCACCTGGGCCCTTATCACTTGTGGTGAGCCCCTAGACACATGACCATAGTGACCCAGATGACCCCCTCTTCATTTCTAAAACTGAAGAGGCCCCAAGTGACCCGGAGTCCAGAGAATTCTTTTCATGAGGTGCTCTCCCTAATTACAGGGCAGCCCTACTACATTTTAATGGGACTGCTGAAACCATTTAAAAGGCACTGGAGGGCCCTGACAGGTTGCTAGGTGTAGTGGAGATTACTATCCAGGCACCCAGATGCTTCAAACCTATGCCATTATACACCCACTGCCCCAGAGGGGTTTCCCCTTGAGCAAATTTCCCTCAACCAAAAGGAATCCCTACCCACTCCTTAGTAAACTCCCAACTTAATTTTGTCCTTTTCTGAAAATACACAGGTTCAACTCTCCTGGGAGTTATAAAATTTCAGTGTTCCTGGTCACTTAGTATCTGGCCAGCCAGTCTCTAAACTCTAGGCCCTAATTAATACTAGCATTCTCCCAGCCACAGCCCCGTTCTGCCATCCATCCTCTTGCCACATGGCTGCCATCTATCCCCGGACTCCAAACCAATCCCTGCAACTCCTCTGCCCTCTTCTCTAACCTCAGGGTTGGCAGCCACCTAAGCCTCTACACTAGGAACTGGGTAGATCCCCAGGACTCAACCCATAATAAAAATGCATGGTCCTTTTTTCCCTATTAGATATCAAGGCTCAAAGTCACTGTTATTCCAGACAAAGCCTCTAAATTCTTCAAAGGGAAGCCCTTCTACCTACAGGGCATTCCTAGTAAAACAATCAAAGGTGTACAAATCCATCTGGATGTAACTAACTACAGGGACCATTTACTTCAAACAGCTTCTTCTGGTGGTGGCTTCCTTGGCCCTTTCTTTCCCTATTACAGGCATGGATGCACTGGCACAATGCCACACAGAACCAGCCCAAGTTCTTAGTCTTCTTGGGGGGATTTACCAAGTGGATGCCAGTGACTCTCCCTCCTGTGGGCAAAATGGTAAACACCCCCCAATACCAATTTAAACAGGGCACTAAAGGCCTATACCTTGTTACTAAAGATGCTGAGATGGAGTCTTTAAGCCCACAGCCTCCCCTTTCAAAGGCCCCATCTGGTCAGTACATAAGTCAGTCACTAATGAATGGAACCTCACCATTTACCTTCAAATCCTTAATACTAAGGTTTCCCCAATTAAACGATAATTCCTAGTATTACAGAATTAATTAAGGACACATATCTCTGGGACAAGCAGCATGCTGGCATTCACATTACATGGGTCCCAGAAGGAAAACAGAGAATAGGGGCAGAAAACTTAATTGAAGAAATAATAGCTGAAAACTTCCCTAACCTGGGGAAGGAAAAGACATCTGGGTCCAGGAAGCACAGAGAGCCCCAAATAAGAACCCAAGACAAGTGATAATTAAAATGGCAAAAATTAAAGAATCTTAAAAGTGGGGCGAGAAAAGCAAACAGTGAGTCTAAGGTAACTACCATGAGGCTATCAGCTGATTTTTCAGGAGGCCAGAGGGAGCAGTACCGTGTATTCAGAATGGTGACAGGAAAAAACTACAACCAATACTCTCCCCAGCAAGGCCATCATTCAGAATTAAAAGGAGAGATAAAGAGGTCCCCAGACAAACAAAAGTTAAAGGTGTCCATCACCACTAAACAGGCTTTACAAGAAACGTTCAAGGGACTTTTTTAAGTGAGAGGCTGTAACCAGGACTTAGAAAATTATGAAAGAATTCCAATGGTGAAAGCAAATAAATAGTAAAGGTACCAGATCAATCAAAAGCCAGTATGAAGGTTAAAAGACAACAACAGGAAAATCACTTGTATCTACAATAATTAGTTAAGCAATACAAAAGACAAAAGGATGTAAAACAGGATATCAAATACATAAAACACAGAGCGGGGAATAAAAACGTAGCAAACATGCTTTTTCAATGTGTTGAAACTTAAGTGACCATTAACTTAAAATAGATGCTATATGCATAGGATGCTATGTATGAACCTCATGGTAACCACAAACCAAAAATGTGTAATAGATACACAAAAAAATAAAAAGAATTCAAGCGTTACACTAAAAGTTATCAAATCACAAGGGAAGAGAGCAAGAAAGGAAGAAAGGTACAGAGAAGAACTAGAAAAACAAACAATTACCAAAACAACAAAAAGTACCTATTAATTATTACTTTAAATGTAAATGGACTAGGGGAGCCTGGGTGGCTCAGTTAA